AAACTAGGAAAATTGGATTTATACATCTGTGGAATGTCCAGAGTGGGAACTCCAGACAAGAAACAATCAGGGACAGCTAATCATCTCTCAACAAAGGATTCTCCTAGGGAGAAATAGGGCACACCCTCTTTTCACTCTTGAGAAAGGAGATCAAAGTGCAAAACACCAGTTTTGGAAGCTAAACAGGGTCAGCCCAAATTAGTATTTGGGTCCTGACGGACATCACTTTTGTCTTTCTCCGAGGATGAGAGGATGTCACCCACACCAGTGGGTTTCCAAGGCCAAGTGGACCAGGCTGTGGCGCAGCTAATTAGTAGCCAGCTGCATTAAATCACTACTTACTGATAAGTCATGAGTTCAAAGCCAGCCCGAGTCGGAGTAAGCTCCCAACCATTAATAATCTAGTTTGCTGTTGACCTATGCAGCCCAAATGACAGTTGCATCTGTCAAATAGGTACTGCTTTATGCGGAGAGGCTAATTTACTCGTAATTATTCCATCATAAAACCTTCCAGCAGCGTGCATAAGAATGAGGAAGTACTCCATCAAGGACTTGGTATCACAAGTGGATAGTGAAGCAGCAGCTCCCCCTGTGGCCGGAATTGAACATACCCTCATGAAGCTGGAAAGCTGGAATGTTAAATTGTGTCTGTCTATATATGTTGTACGTCTGAATGTTTTCCATGTAAAGGTAAAGGTTTTCCCCTGACATAAAGTCCAGGGGTTGGTGCTCATCACCATTTCTAAGCTGAAGAGCTGGCATTGTCCGTAGACACTCCAAGGTCATGTGGCCGGCATGACTGCATGGAGCACCGTTACCTTCCCGCTTTCATGCTCAAGGGGATTTTTCTCCTGAAGGCTTTAACACTTCCCACCCTCTTGGCGTGTGTATGCTTTTTCTCCTGGAGAGTTTTGAGACCAGATTTGAAGACACAGCTCTTCCCATTCTCTGAGCATTTAGAGCAATGGTTCTCAACCTGTGGGTACCCTGGTGTTTTGGCTTACAACTCCCAGAAATCTCAGCCAGTTTACCAGCTAAGGAGGCTGTTCAGGTCCTGAACCGATGCTTGGCAACTGTGATGTCTGGATGAGGCCAAACAAATTGAAATTGAATCCAGACAAGACAGAGGTACTCCTGGTCAGTCGCAAGGCCGAACAGGGCATAGGGTTACAGCCTGTGTTGGATGGGGTCACACTCTCCCTGAAGACGCAGGTTCACAGCTTGGGAGTGATCTTGGATTCATCATTGAGCCTAGAACCCCAGGTTTTAGTCTAGATCCAGGGAAGTAATGCTACCCCTCTATTATGCCTTGGTTAGACCACACCTGGAATATTGTGTCCAATTCTGGGCACCACAATTCAAGAGAGATATTGACAAGCTAGAATGTGTCCAGAGGAGGGCGACTAACATGATCAAGGGTCTGGAGAACAAGCCCTATGAGGATCAGCTTAAGGAGCTGGGCATGTTTAGCCTGGAGAAGGCTGAGAGGAGATATGATAGCCATGTATAAATATGTGAGAGGAAGCCACAGAGAGGAGGGAGCAAGCTTGTTTTCTGATTCCCTGGAGACTAGGATGTGGAACAATGGCTTCAAACTACAAGAAAGGAGATTCCATCTGAACACGAGGAAGAACTTCCTGACTGTGAGAGCCGTTCAGCAGTGGAACTCTCTGCCCCGGAGTGTGGTGGAGGCTCCTTCTTTGGAAGCTTTTAAACAGAGGCTGGATGGCCATCTGTCAGGGATGCTTTGAATGGGGTTGGACTGAATGGGGTTGGACTGGATGGCCCATGAGGTCTCTTCCAACTCTTTGATTCTATGATTCTATGATCTCTGGACCCACAGGTTCAGAACCACTGATTTAGAGGCTTCTCTCCTCTAAGATTCACTTCATTCTCAAAGGGGTTTTTCTTCTGAGTGAAGGCTTTAACAAACTCCAGGCATTTAATAATAATAATAATAATAATAAACTTTATTTATATCCCGTCAACATCTTCCCAATGGGGACTCAGAGTGGCTTACAGGAGGCCAAGCCCAAACAACAAGTTACAACAGAGTAAAACCGAAAACGCAAACGATAAACAACAACATCATAATTGCATAAAACATGTGAATACATAACAATATAAAATTACAACAGGAGCAATCACAGTGACAATGGGCGGGTTACATGTAATGATTAAAAGAAAAAAACTAATTAAAAACTCAGGTGAGATAAAAGAGAAGCAGGTTATTTCCATGGCTTCTTTCCCACATGGGTTTTTCTTTTTGCTCTTCATTCTTGTGGGTTTTTTCAGGCTATATGGCCATGTTCTAGAGGCATTTCTCCTGACGTTTCGCCTGCATCTATGGCAAGCATCCTCAGAGGTGAGGTGCTTGCCATAGATGCAGGCGAAACGTCAGGAGAAATGCCTCTAGAACATGGCCATATAGCCCGAAAAAACCCACAAGAACCTAGTGATTCCAGCCATGAAAGCCTTCGACAATACATTTTCTTCTTCTACTTTGTGAAGCTTGTTGTGCAACTCAACTCTTTCCAAAAGGCAGGAATGTGGACAGTTTCTCTTTGTAAGAACATTCCAGTAAACTTTGAGGATTGATCAGGTTCCAGACGTTCTGCCTTCTCTCCCACGTGGGCTTTTTAGTGGGCCTCGAAACTGCTCTCCAATGGAAGCTCTTCCCTCACTCCAGACATGACGTTGGTCTCATCTTCTGTACGACTATCCGGGACATTTGTGAGGTCTAATTTGTAGCCAAAACTCTTCCCACACTTTCCCGTAAGCCTGTTCTGGTGAGCTTTAAGGACACATTTCAGGCTGTAACTCTTCCCGCACTCTAGGCATTGATAGGGTTTCTCTCCTCTGTGATTCATTTCATGTCCAATAAAATTGGTCTTCTCAGTAAATCCTTTTCCGCACACCAGGCATTGATATGGCTTCTCTCCTGTGTGGATTCTTTCGTGTCTCTTCAGGGCTCCTTTCCGAAAGAAACATTTTCCACACTCCAGGCATTGATATGGCTTCTCTCCTATGTGGATGTTTTGGTGTTTACGGAGGGAATAGCTTTGACTAAAGAGTTTTCCACACTCCAGGCATTTATATGGCTTCTCTCCCAAGTGGGTGTTTTGGTGTAGACTTAGGCTCTCTCTCAAAGAGAAACTCTCCCCGCATTCCAGACATTTATAGGATTCCTCTGCTCTGTGTTTCACTTCATGTCTAATAAGACTTCTCTTATCAGAAAAACCTTTCCCACACTCCAGGCATTTATATGGCTTCTCTCCCGTGTGGGTGTTTTGGTGTCGACTGAGGCTATCCTTTTGGGTATAGCATTTTCCACACTCCAGGCATTGATATGGCTTAAATCCCAAGTGGGTGTTTTGGTGTCTACGGAGGCTTCCTTCTTCATAAAAGGAGTTTCCACACTCCAGGCATTTATACAGCTTCTCTCTTGGGTGGTTTCTTTCATGTGTCTTGAGGTATCTTTTACGAAAGAAACATTCCCCACACTCCAGGCATTTATAGGGTTTCTCTCTCATGTGGGTGTTTTGGTGTCTACTGAGACTATCCTTTTGGGTATAGCATTTTCCACACTCCAGGCATTGATATGGCTTCTCTCCTGTGTGGGTGCTTTGGTGTCTACGCAAGCCTCCTTTTCGAGGGAAGCGTTTTCCACACTCCAGGCATTTATATGGCTTGCCCACAATTTGGTGTTTCTTATTGTTTGTACTCGACGCCTCCTGGAAGAAGCCATTCTCATAGACAGGGCTGTTTCCCATCTCCCTGCTTTCATCTATTGTCTCTTCGATTGTGATTTCTCTGATGTCGACAGGGCACTGATTCCCATTATATCCTTCTGTTTCCATTTCTTCTTCCTTATGACATCTCTCTGTGTTCAACCACATTATATTTGGAGCTCCCTCGTTGTCACTCCCTTGTCCATCACCACCTTGAAAGAAGAAAGACAAAAAGAAGGAAGGCGTGAGAAAAGGGAACACTGAAATCAAGCAACTACTTGAATGTTCAATGTATTGTCGAAGGCTTTCATGGCTGGAATCACTAGGTTCTTGTGGGTTTTTTCAGGCTATATGGCCATGTTCTAGAGGCATTTTTCTCCTGACATTTCGCCTGCATCTATGGCAAGCATCCTCAGAGGTAGTGAGGTTATGTGTGTTATATGTGAGAGAAAGAAGAGGTGAGAATCTTCTTATGGAGGAGAGAACTTTGCCTCATCAAAGGAGAACCCCTTTCTGGAAGTTGTTGGATGACCACTCCCATCATAGTATCGTATAGTCCTTACTGCCTATGACAGGGAAAACCAGCTGATTCCTAATCCATCTAAAACACAGACATGTGCTTTTCATCTCAAGAACAGACAAGCACCCTGAGCTCTGAGGATTATTACCTGGGAAGGAATCCCACTGGAGCATTGCAGTACACCCAAATACCTGGGAGTCACTCTCGACCGTGCTCTGACCTACAAGAAGCACTGCCTGAACATCAAGCAAAAAGTGGGTGCTAGAAACAATATCATACTAAAGATGACTGGCACAACCTGGGGATCACAACCAGATACAGTGAAGACATCTGCCCTTGCGCTGTGCTACTCTGCTGATGAGTATGCATGCCCAGTGTGGAACACATCTCACCACACTAAAACAGTGGATGTGGCTCTTAATGAGACATGCCGCATTATCACGGGGTGTCTGCGCCCTACACAACTGGAGAAATTACACTGCTAGCTGGTATCGCACCACCTGACCTCTGCCGAGAAGTAGCAGCCAATAGTGAAAGGACCAAGGCAGAGACATCTCCAGCTAATCCCTTGTTTGGGTATCAGCCAGCACGTCAACGACTTAAATCTAGACATAGTTTTCTAAAATCTACAGAGACACTCGCTGGAACACCTCAGCAAGTGAGAGTCCAAAAGTGGCAGGCTCAAACCCAGAACCTCAACCAATGGTTAATACCAAATGAGAGACTCCCACCTGGGCACACACAAGACTGGGCGACTTGGAAGGCCCTGAACAGACTGCGCTCTGGCACCACGAGATGCAGAGCCAACCTCAAGAAATGGGGCCACAAAGTGGAATCCTCGACATGCGAGTGTGGAGAGAGCAAACCACTGACCACCTGCTGCAATGCAACCTGAGCCGCCACATGCACAATGGAGGACCTTCTTGTGGCAACACCAGAGGCACTCCAAGTGGCCAGATACTGGTCAAGGGACATTTAATCAACTACCAAGCTTGCAAATTTTGTGTTTTAGCTGTTTGTTTGTTTTTGTTTTGTTTTGTTGGAAATGTAATACAATTGTCTGGTTGCCCCTGACACAATAAACAAACAAATAAATAAATAATCGTATTGTCTACAGCAATGTTTCTCAACCTTCCAATGCCGGGACCCCTTAATCCAGTTCCTCATGTTGTGGTGACCCCCAACCACAAAATTATTTTCGTTGCTACTTCATAACTGTAATTCTGCTAATGTTATGAATCGCAATGTAAATATGCGATATGCAGGGTGTAATAATAATAATAATAATAATAATAATAATAATAATGTTTTATTTATACCCCGCTACCATCTCCCAAGGGACTCGGTGAGGCCGAGCCCACAATACATCAATACAAGCAATAACAACCACAATACAAAGCAAAATACAAATACTAATACAAAGCAATTAAAATAAAACTCATACATAAATAGCATAAACATTGAACAATAGCACAAAACACATTTAAAATCTATGGCTGGGCCAAATGTAATTAAAGTTAAAAAATAATGCTGGGCATGAACAAGATAGAGGAGGTAGGGCGTTGGTGGAAACGTACAAGCAATCCTAAATCAGTATAAAGTGATGCTAAGGGTTCATTATTCTGGGAAGGCACACTGGAACAACCACGTTTTCAAGCTCTTCCTAAAGACTGCCAAAGTTGGGGCATGCCTGATGTCCTTGGGGAGTGAGTTCCAGAGTCGAGGGGCCACCACCGAGAAGGCCCTCTCTCTCGTCCCCACCAATCGCACTTGTGATGCAGGTGGGAGCGTGAGTAGGGCCTCTCCAGATGATCGAAGAGATCGTGTGGGTTCATACACAGAAATGCGGTCACGCAGGTAGGCAGGTCCCAAACCGTTCAGGGCTTTGTAGGTAAGAACCTGCACCTTGAATTGGGTCCGGAAAATGAATGGCAGCCTTTCCCTTCCTTCTCACTGCTCTTTGTTCCAAAACTAACTCAGTTTCTCCTTCTACATCCTGCCTCGGAGTTTAAGATCCTCTGGGGGGGGGGGGGCCGCTCTCGGCCCAACCTTTATCACAAGTGAGATTGGTGGGGACAAAGAGCAGGGCCTTCTCGGTGGTGGCCCTTCACCTGTGGAATTCGCTTCCCGGGGAAATTAGATCATCAACATCCCTCCTCTCTTTTAGAAGGAAACTAAAAACATGGATATGGGACCAGGCCTTTGGGTAGTCTGGCAGACAGATAAAGGACAATGACGACTAGAGTTGGATAGGATTTTGACAATGTGGAGTTTAATTTACGGATTTTGAACTTGGTGAACGTTGGTCATTAGATCGGTTTTTATTAACTGTTATTGTATAATTGGATTGTTTAACTGTTTTAATTATTGCTGTGTGTTTTATTTTATTATGTGTATTGCTGGCATCAAATTGTGCCTTTTTGTAAGCCGCCCTGAGTCCCCCTTCAGGGATTGAGAAGAGCGGGGTAGAAGTGCTCAAAATAAATAAATAATAAAAATTTTCAAAATCCATCATCGCCGAGAGTTGGAAGAGATTCAGCAGGAAAAGAGGAATTTCCTAAAGGGGCAAATCCAATTTCTATCTGGGGTGGGCGGGCTGAAGTGTGAGAGATTATGGAAAATCTGATTGCATCTGATTCTCTTGAGTAATTTTGGTGAGAGAGAGAAAAACAATTTTTAAAATTTGAGGGATCACCTTGCGCTATCTTATGCTCTTCTCCACAATGTATTTATGTGAACAAGGGTTTCTGATTTGCTGGTAATTAAAAACAAGTCAAGGAATTGATTGAAAGTAAATGATGATATATTGTCAAAGGCTTTCATGGCCGGAATCACTGGGTTGTTGTAGGGTTTTTCGGGCTATATGGCCATGGTCTAGAGGCATTCTCTCCTGACGTTTTCGCCTGCATCTATGGCAAGCATCCTCAGAGGTAAGTGACCTCTGAGGATGCTTGCCATAGATGCAGGCGAAACGTCAGGAGAGAATGCCTCTAGACCAGTAGTCTCAACCTTCCTCATGCTGTGACCCCTTAATACAATTCCACATGTTGTGGTGACCTCCAACCATAACCTTATTTTCGTTGCTACTTGTCATTTTGCTACTGTTATGAATCATAATGCAAATATCTGATATGCAGGATGTATTTTCAATCACTGGACCGATACGCCCAAATTTGAATACTGGTGGGGTTGGGGAGCGGGGTTGACTTTGCCACTTGGGAGTTGTAGTTGCTGGGATTTATAGTTCACCTACAATCAAAGAGCATTCTGAACTCCACCAACGATGGAATTGAACCAAACTTGGCACACAGAACTCCCATGACCAACAGAAAATACTGGAAGGGTTTGGTGGGCATTGACCTTGAGTTTTGGAGTTGTAGTTCACCTACATCCAGAGGGCACTGTGGACTCAAACAATGATGGATCTGGACTAAACTTGGCACGAATACTCAATATGACCAAATGTGACCACTGGTGGAGTCTGGGGAAAATAGTCCTTGACATTTTGGGAGTTGTAGTTGCTGGGATTTATAGTTCACCTACAATCAAAGAGCATTCTGAACCCTACCAATGATAAAATAAGGCCAAACTTCCCACACAGAATCCCCATGACCAACAGAAAATACTGTGTTTTCTGATGGTCCTTAGTGACCCCTCTGACACTCCCTCGTGACCCATTGAGGGGTCCCGACCCCCAGGTTGAGAACCACTGCTCTAGACCATGGCCACATAGCCCCAAAAAACCTACAACAACCCTAAATGATGATATGTGTTTAGCTTTGAGCAGTAATATTCGCCCCAGGATTACTTAACTTGTAAAGAAGACGCAAGCTCAAAAATCGTGTTGATGCAAACCAAATTTAATTTTCTATTTACAATGTTCTTTTTTATATTATAATAATAGTACTCTTACTTCATGTCACTATTAAGTGTAATGAATAGGTTAAAAGTTTTGATTGAAGTTTATTTTTAGATTAACACATTGTATTATTCTTGAACCTTGTGGTCTCTGCTTACTACAAAAATAATCTAAAAAATGTTGGGAACCACTGGTCTACAGTATGAGGGGATGCATAATGCAACCTGAAAATACCATGAGCCACCCTACTAAAACTAAGAGGCTGAGGGATTCTTACCCAGAGAAGCCACCATCCTATAATTTTCATCCATGACCTCCCAGTGCAGGGCCCGTTGATCCGTATCTAGTAAGGCCCTCTCCTCCACACTGAAATGTACAGCCACATCCTCAAATATCACCTGAAAGAAGGAAGTTGGACACCCAAATCATTCCTGCTTCTTCTACTGCTAAGAAGAATCCTGATCCATTGAAGCCTGAGTAAAAAATTCAAGGAGATAACTTTGAGGAGTAGCCACCCCAACCTTCCTGAGCTGGATATTCTAAGCAAGTGAGAAGCATCAGGATGGTAAGTGAATTCATGCAGTCACCTGCAACAGTTCTGGTATGTTCATGCTCTTGCCTGAAAGTGTGGCTATTGTGGCATAATGAAAATCACACGTATTTCACGTTTTATCAGTCTGTCTTGCCAGAGAAAGAAAATATGCCACACAGATGAACAATAAAGAACAAGTTTACTCTTTGTAATGCAGAGCAACATATATACGATCATGTGAACAGTTGTATTGACTCACACAATCGAAGCTCTAGGTGCTCTTACTGCCTATTACAGGGAAAACCAACTGATCCCTAATCCATCTAAAACACAGACATGTGCCTTTCACCTTAAGAACAGACAAGCATCCCGAGCTCTGAAGATTACCTGGGAAGGAATCCCACTGGAGCATTGCAGCGCACCCAAATCCCTGGGAGTCACTCTGGACCGTGCTCTGACCTACAAGAAGCACTGCCTGAACATCAAGCAAAAAGTGGGCGCTAGAAACAATATCATACGAAAGCTGACTGGCACAACCTGGGGATCACAACCAGACACAGTGAAGACATCTGCCCTTGCGCTATGCTACTCTGCTGCTGAGTACGCATGCCCAGTGTGGAACACATCTCACCACGCTAAAACAGTGGATGTGGCTCTTAATGAGACATGCTGCATTATCACAGGGTGTCTGCGCCCTACACCACTGGAGAAATTGCACTGTTTAGCCAGTATTGCACCACCTGACATCCGCCGGGAAGTAGCAGCCAATAGTGAAAGGACCAAGGCAGTGACATTTCCAGCTCATCCCTTGTTTGGGTATCAGCCAGCACGTCAACGACTTAAATCAAGACATAGTTTTCTAAGATCTACAGAGACACTCTCTGGAACACCCCAGCAAGCGAGAGTCCAAAAGTGGCAGGCCCAAACCCAGCACCTCAATCCATGGGTGACACCAGATGAGAGACTCCCCCCTGGGCACACAGAAGACTGGGCGACTTGGAAGGCGCTGAACAGACTGCGCTCTGGCACCACGAGATGCAGAGCCAACCTTCAGAAATGGGGCCACAAAGTGGAATCCACGACATGCGAGTGTGGAGAAGAGCAAACTACAGACCACCTGCTGCAATGCAACCTGAGCCCTGCCACATGCACAATGGAGGACTTTCTTGCGGCAACACCAGAGGCACTCCAAGTGGCCAGATACTGGTCAAAGGACATTTAACCAACTACCAAGTTTGCAAAATCTGTGTTTTTTCTTTTTAATCTGTGTGTTTGTTTTGTTCTGTTAGAATTGTAACACAATGGTATGGTTGCTGATGACACGATAAATAAATAAAAATACTAAATGATATTATCTAACACCCCAAACAAATAATGCCTTTTTTTCAAATAACTACCATATAATAAATATAGATGTACAATACATAAAGA